CCCAGACCCGAGCCCTGGCGGGGGGCGGCAGTCCAGGAGGCCCCCTGTGAAAACCCCTGGGCGCCGGGAGGGGGGAGGGACTGGGACGCGGGAGGGAGCGCGCTCTGCACTTCAAGGTCACAGGGAAAAAGGGGGCTTTCCCTGCCATGGATGGCCTTGTGGGAATCTGGCGGAAAGGGGAGATGCAAAGGGCGGTGACCGGTGCGCGTCAGGTCCTGGCTGCGCGGCTTTCGCTTTCCCGGCGCGGGCGCGATGGCTCCGCCCCCATCAGGACGGGAACTGAGGCACGGAGGTCGACAGGCCCAGGCCCAGGGAAGGGCGCAGTAAGTAACAATGGGCGAAGCGGCCCCTGACCCGGCGGTTGCCCGCCTCGCGGGCCCGCCTACCACACCCTGCTCCCGCCCTCCCCCGCTGAGCTGCGGACCCCAGAGCCGCCCCGGGCGGCCACACGACGTCCGGCCCCTGCGGGCGTCCCACGCGCGGTCCTGGCCCACGCCCCAGTGTGGCCCCAGCGCCCGCGCGCCGCGACCACAGCCCCCCAAACGGAGCCGCGGACCGGAAGGCCGCAGTCCCCGCGCCCCGCTCCGCCCCGAAGGGCGCACGCTCCCCGGGACCCGGGCGGGGACGCGCCCCCTCCCCTGCTGCCCCGGCCGCGCCGGCCTCCCCTCCCGCCCGCGCCTCCCCGGCGCCTGCGCACCCCGCGGTGGCTGCGGCGCCGGCTCCGCAGAACCTGGCCTGGGTCTGGCTGGGGAGGGGAGTCTTCGCGGGGACCCGCGGGCGGCGGGAGGGGCCGGGACAGGGGCGGGGGGCCACGACGCAAGTGGCGGGAAAGCCGGACCCCTCTCTCCCCAGGGGGAGCCGAGCACCACCCGCCCCCAGCTGAGTCGCCTGGACGGGCTCAGTCAGGCCACACAGGAGCTCAAGCGAGTTTCTGCGCCCCGGGACTGGGGGCGAGGCACAGGTGGAGAGCAGAATACCAAGTTGAGAGGGGGGAGCTGGGCAGCCTTGGGGTGTGTGTGGTGGGGGAAGCGACAGGTGGAGCTCAGCTTGGAAGGGCCCCAGCAGAGATGAAAGGACGTTGCGGGGAGCTTTTGGGGTGGGGTGAAGGGATTTGGGGCTACTAGGGCTCCGTAAATGGCAAGAGGCCCATGCCATCCCCAGGGAGAGGCGGGAGCCAGAGGGAGCTCAGGAGAGGGTTTGGTGGAGAAACCTGGGGTCAGACCGGCCTCTAGCACCGCAAGCCTTGCTAGTGGGGAACACGTGGAGCCGCCTCTCAGGGACAGTCTCCCCTTCCCTCTGTCAGGGCGCCGTGGATAGGGTGACCTTCGGTCCCCCCAGGCAGCGTGGCTGTGGCAGGACCGTGTGACCGTGCCCTCTGCCAGGCACCCTGGACATGGCTTGTGTATTTATCTGTCACCCGTCGCATCCTCCTGGCATCGCAACAGCTAGGCAAGTGCCAGGCCGAGCCATCCCTGGGCCTAATCCTCGTCCTGCAAGCGGGGGAGCCCCCCCCCTCAGCCGTTGTCACCCCCTCTTCTGTTTCAGGGCTTCCTGGAGTGGCCCAGAGCACCCCAGCAGACGGCCATCGTCCTGGTGGTGTGTGTGTGCTTCTCCCTGTTCTGGTGTTGACTGGGATGCCCTTGGCGCTTTTCCTCTGACCATGGTGCCACTGCCGCCAAGGGTTCTGCGTGTCGGGGAGGAAGTGACCGGGCCTAGCAGCAGGACAGGCCACTGAGGCTGACCAAGTGCCCTCTCAACACCGGGACATTACTTTTGTTGCGTTTAACCTTTTGGGGGGCTTTGCACCCGTGTCCTGAACGAAGTCATCCTTGATGCAAATGTTTTCTATCCCACTGGGAGTGTTATAGGACAGGGAGAGGGGCAGCCCAAAAACCCTGCAAACCTGCCTATTCTAAATGGGTTCTGCCATCCGCCGCATCAACACAAAACATAGGAGACTTTAATGGGAAGGAACTTTAATTAAACTAGGAAACAATACAGGTAGGCAAAGAGTCTAGTTTCTAAATGAAGCACCAAAGTTACCATCCCCTCTGTGGTAAAAGTCCATCCATATGGGATCGGCCAGAACAAGGCCCCAAAGCCTGCTACAAGTCTAAAGCATCTTCCAGTGGGGACCCACAGCAAAGGGTCACAAACAACCGGACAAGCCCGGAAGGAAAAGAGCAAAATCAACATCAAGATAAAAGCTGCCATTGTCACCTCCCACGGGTCTCACCACCATCTGTGTCACCAGTCCCACGACCAAAAGACAAGCGCAGTTTCTTCACGTGTCTCTAGGCTCCATGCGCCTCCTCCAGGTCTCCTTGCTCCATCCTGCTTCCTTCCTTAGTCTCTTCTGCAGCTTCTCTTCCTGCTCAGCTCCACCCTCCCTTGGGTGGGGCAGGGAACCTCCCCCTTTCCTGGGGACCACCCTGCTTGCAATCCCCCTTTTAATTTTTATTCCACCATATCTATGGTGGCACAAATCTCAGGGTGTAGTCTTAGGAGACATGTTTTTTTTCAGGGTTACAATGTGTGTAAGAGAAGCAACAATTAGTCAGCAGCATTGTCCATGAATGTCCAGTATGACAGTTTCATTACTTAAAAATAGTCCATTATCCAAGCCAAAAGAAAAAAAAATCTGGAGCATTGGCTAAAACAAGATAGCAAATATATCAAAATCACAGGGAAAAAAATGTTAAATGGTTCAACTTATGCAAAAAACGAATTCTCTCAACCTTGATCCCAAACTTTAAACAGCATAGCAAAAGTTTGCAAATTAAATCTACCTTTAAACCATTTTTCCCATTTTTGCATAAAATCACAGGGCAGAAACAACCAACAGCAATTTTTTTAGCTGACTTTGTTGAAATACTCCACACAGGATGAGAGCGAACCGGTGGCATCCAGTCGATGTAGGCTTCAGGTATAAAGTTGGTCTCATCAGACTCCACCTGGGCTTTCCTCTTCTCGAGGGTACCAGGGCATTTTCGTTGGCCGGGTTGTCCAGTCCTGCCAATGGAGGCAAGCTTCCTCACCTTCTTTGGAGGTCTCTGGAACCCTACAAACAAGGCAAACAGGTTCTCCTCTTCTTGGTTCAGCTCTTTTTCAACTTTCTGGAAGAACTCCACACAAAGCCACACAATCAAACTCACGTCCAATTTTTTTTTTAAAACAGACAAAATCCCTATGGAAGTTATGCAAAAACAGACTCTGAAATAAGTAGCAAAAATTACTACCACTATTTGTATGCTGTGTTGGTATCAAGGGGAGAGAAAATGTGACAAGTTAGCTTTGCTGGAAAAAAAATTGCAACCTTTCTGCAGATCCTGGTTACTCAAAACAAAACAAAACAAAACAAAACAAAACTTTGTGGATTCAGGACAAAATGCATAAAAAAAAATTTCCAGTATTATGTCAAAGAAACCTTAGTAAATGTCAGGTGTATTTCCAGGTCTTATTGAGTCCCTTTGTAAGAAGTTTTACTCTCAACAGTTCCATCAATAGGAATCTGTTGAGACCTTTTTCCCTATATTTCCAGAACAATTTCTGTAGATGTGAAACAATTGAATTATACAATATTACAAGGTGACAATCACCATTGACAATTTACATACATACCAGATACTACTGTTAACATTTTGTACATACCAAAGTTTTACCATTTTCCCAAGTGACAATGCTTCCCTTCCAGTTTTACTTCATTAGGTAAAAGCCAAATAGAACAAATTCATGTAATGCTTTCCCAGGAGGAAAAGGAGAAACTTCGTGGAGTGTCTCAGGAGCTCTACTGAGGTTCCACAAAATTTCCTTGCATCAGTCAAATGACAGGCCACCAAATTTGTACTTGAATTTAGATTTCTGGGAAGCTTTGCCATAAATATCAGAAAATTAACAGAAACAACAATATTCAATCTCTATGAAGGCACCGGCTTAGTTCAGTAGCACAATGTTGACAATCAAACTATAACATATACTTTTTGTTTTTCTCATAACCGGAGACTCTTTTTTTTCCTTTCCAACGTCTATGGGCACCATGTATACCAATTTGTCGATCACTGGAGGTCAAGACAGTTAGACACAAGGACATACAGACATACAACGTATAGACAAAGACAGTTTTTTTTTTTAGTTATGCCATGTAGAATATGTTATGTAACTGCAGTTTTACTCCATAGGCTCAGAAAAAAAAAGTCAAAGTCCAAAAAAAATGTGGAGTGTTGCTGGCAGAAAAATTTCCGGTTGTCATCCTACAAACCTAAGACTTTGGAAATAGGAAGGAAAAGTTTTATTAATCACAAGAGTTAAACGACCTTGTTTATCACATTATG